GTTTTCACTGTGCTCTTTGGAGGACCATTTGGAACAAAACTCTTGAAGTTTGCATTCAAATATAAATTTTTTGTGACTATTTCCCTTTTAAAAGATGAGTGAAAATACAGCAAGCACTTCCTTGGTGTGGAAAAGACTGTACATAATTTTTCTCAAGTACAAGAGCACTTTCCCCAAGCCAATGGAAGAACAGATTAGTGAAAAGCTTAATGAAGTAAATATTTTTAGCCAAAAGCAGCATGAAGTGCAGGAATTAGCACTGTATTTTCATGGCAGTGCAAAAGGTGGGATGGATGGCGTGGCAGCAGCCAGCAGCAGTCACTCTGTGCCTGTGGCAGTGCCCTGGCAGTGGTTGCAGTCCTGCATTGTGGCTTGTGAACACCCTGGGATGTGACAGGCTGCATTCTACTGGGCACATAAGGAGCCAAGCCACCTCCTTCTCTCCTTCTCTTTGTTTTCTGGCAGTACCAAACACCCTGATGATAAATGCTCCTACACCATGGTGTGCTGGCTCTATCAGCACTCAATATTCAGTTGATGATTTCGTGAAGCCCTGAGATCTTTCCACAGAGGTGTAGGGTCATGCTTTTGTTTTTCTTGTCCCACTATTTAATATTGTAAGTTTTAAACTCTATTTCTCAGTGTGTGAGAAACCCTAAAAAGCTTTAAGCTGTAATCCACAAATTCTATTGTCAAAACAGGAAAACCCTGTATATCCAAGGTTTTATTACCCATTTTTTGTCTAACTGCCTAGTTTCTTCCCAGATTAATCTGTTTCAAAATTAAGCAGACTACTCCTGCACCAGATGTCCAGATGCTCCTCGGGAGAACAGAGTTGTTTTTCAATTGGCTCACTGTCTTTTAATGAGGCAGGGGACTTGTGACCTCGGTGCATTGTGGCTGATAAATGGTAGGATGTACCCACACATACTCACAGAAAACCTGCAAACACAAATGAGTTGTTGGTAATCTCTAGATTTTCCTAGGGAAAGGCTTCTTGTGGGCAAACACTTAAGCAGAAAGCTAATGCTTAATAATATGTGATTTTAAACTGCCAGTGCACAAGCCTGTCAACATTTATTTCCAGGTTCTCTGATCCTTTTTATTAGTTTCCTGTCTTGTTTTCATCTTAACCAAGCCACAGAAAGGAATGATTTTCTTTTGTTAACAAATATTCAATTTTTTTCTTCAAATCTGCTTGCATTTCTCAAAGATCTGAACAGGTTAAAAATGTTGTTTGTGCTGCTTGAAAGTAAAGTATGCTCTTAAACAAAAAGTTATGTAACTTTTACAAAATAATATCACATGCTAGAACATTATGCTAAAATCTGATCAGATAAGTAAGCTTTGCCTTCATTAAGGGCTTTAATCTTGACTATACTCAGGGCAGCTTCTAAACAACAGCTTTGGAGTTTTCCTCCAAAAGATCTTTCATGCTCAAGTCTGGAATATTTTAAGTAACTAACACAATGTTTTTAGAAATCAAAAGCAACACTTTTCCTCCTTTGTTTCTAAAAGTAACAGGGTGATGACAGAAAAACTTCCCTTCGGCTATAAACTGGGTGTTAAAAATACCCAAAAGCTAAATCCTAGTCTGGGTTGTTTTTAAAAGAAAAATTATTTTATTTTAATTTCTTTCTCCAAGACCTCTTTTCTGAGATGCATTTGAGCCTTAGATCTCTGCTTGCATTGCCACAAAACTGATGAAAGTCTGAGATCTCAATCAAAGGCTTAACAACACAATAATCCTCTATTGCCCTAATTCTTCTCGGAAACATCTCTCTCTGACAAGAACAGTCCCTAAGCTTTTACATCTTTTTTTTCTGCTTAAAATTACTTTCCTAATTAGAAGGAATTGTTTCCTTCCCAAGTCTTTGTGCCTGAAGAACACTGTATTTATGGAAAAGATCTCTCAGACTCTTTAGTTCCCGGTCCTCAAATACTATGATAGTGATTGCACTGTACATCCTCCAAGAATTCCAACTTCTTTTATAAATAAGCAGAAGAATTCAGTAACATTCTTCATAATCTACCCAATTTCATTTGAAGCAAAAAACCAGAAATAATCATGAATCACAGACTTCATGCAGAGTGTAAACACTAACTTTCAAGCACAACTTTAAAATTTAAAATAAATTTTCTTTCCCAGATATATTTACTTTTTACACTTCCATGTTAGCCCTGAGTTCTTACACATCATACTAAACAGGAATTTGAATCAGAATGTGTGAATGCAGTATAGGTAGAATTAGTTAAGTATTGAACATTTTGAAAGGAATGTAAAAGAGATTTCCATACCAGAGGGTTTGGGGTTTGTTTTTTTTCCAGTCAGCAGCTACCCATCCTTACAGACATAAAGGCCCCATTTCAATAAGGTACTTCTGCAGGAATAGTGCCAGCAGTTTCGAGCATCCGAGGAATTCTGTCCACCTAGGCTGGACACACACTCAGGTGTCATCCTGACTAGGTTGGTTGTAATAAATTTACCTGCCAGCAAATTTGAATGTGCTAACTGCTAACATGGGCTATGCCCCTGGAAGTTCTTGACAAGCTGCAACAAGATTTGGAAGGTCATGAACAATCAATTAAAAAGCAGATGAATTTGAGTACAGCTGTATAATAATATAAATAAGGCAAATAATTAATACAAAATGAGATGACTCCAAGTAGTGTGGTTTGGAAGAGCACTGAATGGAATTTGTTGGTGCCTGTTGGAAGTACTCAGTGTGTAGATGTGATGAAGGCCATGGCTCCTGCCTCTCAGTGGCTGCTTAAGCACCTATCCAGCAGGCATGGCTGCCCCTGATCTGACATTCTTTGGTCAGAAGTGAATGGAAGTGGCTGCTCTAACAAGTGATTCTCTCTTTCTATGCCTGTGAATACCTCTGTTTAAATGTGAGAGGAATGAAGCTGGAGTAATGGTCCATCTTGCACTTAGCAGAAGCCCAGCTTACAAAGGCCACTACTGATTCATGGCAAGGTCTCAAATTCATCTGCACTGGATATTGAAATCTGGGAATGGACTGCTTTTCCTCATTTGAATTCACATCTCAGTAAGGATATTGCAGTCACAGAAAAAGTCCAGACACTGAGAATGATTAAAAACAGTCTGAAGAGACTTTTGTAGTGCCAGATTTGTGAAAACTTGTGCTACTGAGCTGAGACAAAAAGCAACAAAGACAATGAGGTTACATAAAGCAATGAGTATCAGTACCAATGTTTCCATTGCTGTCCTACTGAATAAGAAGACAACATACAATAAAAAAGATCAGATATTAAAATATGGTTTTATAAATATTGCTTTCCCTCATCTAGGTAGCTAAATGGAAGAGGATATTAATCTGATGGGATTAAAAATATTACTAAATAATTTAATGAATTACAATATCATCTTCACTAGGTCAAGTAACTTTATCTTTCAGAGAAAGACTTTATTAATTGGGAGTTGAAAGTGCTGTAGATGCACAGTTTGTGGTAATTTGGAGTGGGGCTGAGCCTCATCCCCAGTGGGCACAGCTGTGAGCAGCAGGGGAGCAGCACTGGCAGCAATGAGCCAGGGAGTGCCCAGGGGCACTGACCAACACCCGAGGGCACAGAGGGCACTCAGGGGCAGTGCATGAATTGCAAGGCACATTGTGACTGATGTGGGGTGATGTTACTCTGTATGGGCCAATGCTTCAAGCCTGCTCCTGCTGACATTGCATGGGGATACTCTGTGCATCATGGCCATCTCGACTGTGGCATGTGCTGTGACAAAGTGCTGCATTCTTTGGCTATACATAATCTTCTTAATTTAAAAAAATGTTCTTTTTAAAAATTTTTTTTAATGAAAGTAGTCTCCTTAATTAATCCTAATATTGCCTCTGAAAATCCTTGAACACATGTATTTGCAGCCTAGAATTTAAAATTCTGTTTCTGTGGCAGATGCTATTTAAGTTCTTCTTTTGACATCTCAGAGGATGAACATGGAGAGGTTGCTTTTGTTTGCATTGTTACTGCTTACAGCTCCATGAGGGAGTTATACTTCTGAGTGAAGTCTGAGATGTGTCATTAATGATGAACACACATCCATGCTGTAAGGAGATCTTCTAAATGAAGGGTCACCCTACAGCTTGTACAGTTTCACAGGTATGCAGCTGGAATAGAAGAGAAAGTAGAGGAAGGACTTGTCTTTCTCATAGTCTGAGTCTGCTCAGGGCCAAAACCTGGCAGACTGCAAAAAGAAACTTGTGCATCTGGACAAGCCATATCAGAAGAGAGAAGGCTGAACTGTCTTGAAAACAAGAAAAATCTGTGAAACAGATCTGATCTTTTGAAGAGCCAGTGCAGAGCAGCAGAAATGACAGAGCAGAGGGGCCATGCTGAAAACTGACTGCATCATCAGCACTCATGGCAATGGGAAAACTCTCTGGATTGACAACAAATAAGCCGATCAGGCAAAATACACTCAGCTGCCTCCCAGGTCCACATGCAGACTTGGAGGAAGCAGAAGTGCAGCAGAGCCAGCTGGCTGTTCCCGGGGGTGGGCCCACTGCCAGGCAGCTGCGACAGGGGGAGCCAGACTCGGTAGCCACCCCCTGATGACCTGGGCTACCCTGGGACTGACTGAGACTCTTCATTAGGAAGGGGGAAGTTGACTACACTTCGTGAAAATAGCCACAGGTTTTGCTAGTTATTATTTAAAGATATCTATACAGCCCATGTCCTACAGTCTGCTGTTTGCATTTCAAAGTAATGAAGAGCAGAAGAATATATCAGTAAGAGTACAAGAAAAGGTTAAATTAATTTTTTCCCCAGAGGGGAGTCAGAAATTAAACTCTAAGCAAGAGCATTGAGACATGGCTATCTTGCCAAAAAGAGCTGTAGATATTGAAACTGAACCTCTTTGCTACCAATTTAGAAATTTAGGTTTTGAGCCTCTTCTATGATTTTAAAAAAAAATTTCTAATGTGATTCATCGCTTATTTTCTAAACATTCAATGCCTCTGTTAATTCCCTAGTTTCACATATGGAAAAGTGTATGCCTGGATGTGGCTGGGCAAGGACACATTTCAAAGACAGTGTAACACTGATCACAGAGAGAGGCTGTCAAAGCCACTGCATCAGCACAGGTCAGCACATTTGTAAAAATAAGATCTTTATCTTTCTTAAAGAATGAGGGGTATCCCTTCAGTGAAGTACCAGAAGATGCATAAGTGCAAACACTGCCAGCTGCCCCTGCTAATGCAACAAAATGAAACAAATATTTTCATTGCACCTCAGAAGAGAAACATCACTGACACCCCCTACCACTCTTGTGATTTGCTATAGAGTATTAAAAACAGGAAAACACAATGTATGTATTAGCATCCCACCCTTTCTTACCTTCATGGATTTCAGAGAGGAAATGATGAGTGTTTCCATATATTGTTTTTTCATTCCAGAAAAAAGAATGAAAATAATTTTCTGTACCCAGTTTCTGCACCTGGGGCCTAAATGAAGGGAAGTAGGTAAATAGTTCCAAGTAATTAATGTAATGACTCAGAGGGGCCACAGAAGGAAAGAGGAGTTTCTCCAGTTTAAATGTTTGCATTCATGCTTTGCCTAAAGCAAAACAAACTATCTGTCTTCTGGTTTGTATTTTCCCAGTGAAAACTTCCATTTGTCTTATTGTTGCTCCAGCATGTGCATCATTTACAGCTTTCACTGCTTGAAACATCCAAGTACTGTACATTGCAAGATTTTTTTTCCCCTGAGCTTTTAAGATTTTCTAGAATTGTAGAATGTGCTGTAGGAAGTGAACCAGTAAAGGCAGACTCAATGTAGAACGTGTTGGGTTTGTAAGTGGCTGCAGCTTAGAGGTACTGTGATGTTTGCTGTGAAGTCTCCAACCCCAAATGAAGTGCATTGGTCTTTTCACACTTCAGGAAAAGAGAATCCACTACAGGAATGACTAAAGTTGATAAGTTACATCTTGACTGGCCATTATAAAAAAAAGATGATGGGTATGGAGTTCCATCTGTTTCTGATATTCTGGTCCTTTAATGTGAGCTGCAGAGGTGTGAAAATCTACAAAATACATTCTTGAACTCTCTCCTAGTTAGAAATTTAAGTCAACCTGTTCTTACAAAATGGGAGGAAAAGTATAATCTGTTTTATCTAATAGCTCAGTCAGGAAAAGATTAATTACCAGAGGAAGTCTGTGTTCAGGTCTTGACTCTGTGGGTATAAGATTTGCATTTCTAACTTTCCATTTTAAGAGCCTCAGTACAAGGGATGTTTAGGGGAAACACTTCTAATTTCTCCTAGGGAAGTGAGAGCACTGCCCACCAGAAATATCATGAATGGAAAGAGAACTAAGTAAGACCTTTTGTCTTAATAGTTTGTGTGCTTAAGGTTGGATGAGGCCTAGGTTTTGTTTGGCCAAATCTCTACTTAATCCTGAGGAGGAAAGCTCTACGAGACAAAATCCTTGTCTCTGGCCAATCATTGTGCTCATGACTTGGAACAGAAATATTTGCCTCAATCAGACCTCAGGCAGCAACATTTCTTCTGTAGAGGAGACTTGCCTGATGAGTGCTATAGTTAATTTTTGCCAGCTCTCACAAAGAATTTCATTTGACTACGGCAAGCCTGCAGTCACTGTGCTAGGTAACACCAGGTCCCCTCTGTATGATCCAGGGACATGCTCTAACCTGCAAGCTGCTAGTGAGGAATTTGATGTGGAAGCTGGAGACTGGAACAGGACAAGTTCATCTCACTGGAAGCCAGCAAACAGCTATTAAGCTTGCTCCATGCTGACAAGGTTTCCTGATGTAGTGGTCTTGGCAAAGTCTCCCTAGAATAGATACTGCTGAATTTAGCCAAAAAATGCTCAGAGGGCTTCTCCAGGCAAAACAAGATACACTGACTTCTGTGCTCTAAACTGGGCCCACAGTAGAGCTGCTGTAAGAGCAAAGAGTCACAGTCTTGGTGACACTGAATCCAATGAGTGATCACTGGTGAAGTCCTAGAAAACAGACTGAGCTCACATCTAACAGTACCATCTCATGGGAAGGATAGAAATCCAGTGTAAGAAGCAGAGTAGCTGCTGCTAGGAAAAGTTTGAATAGGGAAAACTCTGCTTCTGTAGTACCTGTTTCATGTCCTGCCAGGCTCGTGACCTCTGAGGGCAAAGGGCAGTTCTGGTGCTGCAGGGCTGCTCCAGCAGAGGGGTTTTGACAGTCAGGGACCACCTCCCATATCCCTGACTCAGAGCAGGGCTGCCACAGGTCTGGAGCTTCATCTTGGTCTCACTGAAGGTGGTCTCACCTAGGGAATATTAGTCCTCCTTACACCGATTTAAAATGGGCAGTAACAGAGATGATATTCTGCATGTGACTTAAGTCTGTCCTCAGTGCAATTTTAGCTTATTGCTGGGTTTGTATACATTCCTTCAAAAAACAAAATTCTTATACTTTTGAGGTTTACAGACTCCACTCTCACTTGAAAGAAGCAACATTTCTTAAGCACACAGAATTAACTCAATTGTTTCTTGGCTGTACTGAGGGGAACATAAAATTTTGAATTTTAAAAAAATATTGTATTGTTGAGGGAAAAGTATAGCACGATGCATTTTGATTTCGTCAATTGCACCTAGGATTTTTTTCACTTGCTAATTTAATTACAAAAGTACAAGAAAACAGCTTGGGAGTACGGTGAGGCAATCAATAGAACTACAGACAAATGAAAGTAAAATAAAGTTGAATCTTTCCCAACAAAATACCAGATAGTACAATGTAGAAGCATCTTCTTCATGTAACTAAGGATTTTTAAAAATATTTAAATGGCCTGTTTGGAACAATAAGTTCTTATTCAACTCTCAATGGCCTTGAAACTAAAAATAAATTCTATTTCGTATTTCTTTCAACTTGTTTTAGAGCACATCAATAGTTTTCTCAGAAGATACTATCACTGTTTGGTAGAAACATACTTGCAAAAATAAACTAAATCCAGAAAAAGTTTCCAGGGATGTTTTTGGATGCAAATGTGGATAGTGACTGTGCCCACATCAAAAATAAAACACACTAGCTCTACAATGTCCTTTGCTAAATATAAACATCCTAACATTGATAAGCTTTACAGAAAAAGAAACTGATTGCCATATATTATTACCATCTCCAGTATTTGAAGAGCACCCTCTACAGACACAAAACACTAACCAGGAAGAGTTCTTCCTAAAGAAAATAGTATGAACTGAAAACTGGAGTAGCAGTTCAGTTCATTAGCACAGTGCCAGATCTATATAAACACATCTCTCCTGGTAAAAAGGAGCAGACTTTGCACAGATGCCAAAGATAGAATCTATTGCATCACCAAAGCCTCCATCTTTGAGAATTTAAAATACCTTACATATTCTGTGCTGACTCATAATTAGGCTGTAAGCTTCCTCTCTTAAAGCAGTGGATGGCTGTGGGATCTGGAATGGAAACACATAAAATATACTGTTATTTTCAAAAGAGAGTGAGGAAGAAACCATGGTAAAGGCCAGGATGAACTAGTTCTCCTGAGTTCATTTAGTTTGTTTGTTCAACTCTTTAATAAGAGTTGTGAAAATTGTGTACTTAGTTCATAAGTGGAACTTAAAAATTTCAAAAAATTGAAATGCTGAAATGAAATGTCATCAATTTCATTTCCATGAAATGCGTATTATACACATGTACATTCTAGCATTGAAAACTTCACTCTTCTAAAACCTGCCTTTAAATTGTCTTTCTGTGTTTTTCCTAGATTTGCAAACATACAGTTATTTTCTTAAGTCTTCAGTGCTTCAGTAGCTAAATTACTGCAGGTGAATCAGGAGTGATGTTTTTCTTTCAAGGAGAAGGTGTAGGTAGTATCTCTAAGTTGATTCTTAAAGTAATTGGACACCAATAAAATGTTTACATCTCTTGGAAAATATTGCTTCACGAAACTGTTTAAATGGTGCTATCTCACCCAGTTAAGAAAAGTAGCTGGAAATAAAAACAAACGTAAAAACATTCAAGATAATACATTTTTCCTGTTTTTTTCCAGCTGCTCGGGAGCGTGTCGAAGGAGGGAGCTGTTACAATCACCGAGGCCACCAGGTGGTGCCATTGCCCCGCAGCACAAGAGCCCGCGGCCGCTCCCCCCAACCCAGCCGGGGCAAGGGCCTGCGTCAGGAACTGCTTTAGCCTCCCACAAACATTTCCTTATCTTCGTCCAAAAGTAGGAAAAAACCCACCCCAAACCGTAATTGCTAAGACTTCCATGCGTGCCTATAAGAAAAAAGAAGTTAATTTTTACTTGGGATAGGGATGATTAGATTTAGACCCAGGTAATTTAACATTTTGCTTCTCTATTGACGTAAATAAGAGCTACATGCATAAAGAGCATAGAAGCTATTGCATTTACTACATTACTATTTCTGTGATAAATGAACCAATGCTTACATCTGCAATGACTGAAACAATATCTCTTTAAGCTTTCTTCAAATAAATACGCTGACAATGCCAACAAATCACTCTGTATTTGTGGAAATGAGAGGCTCAGACTATGCTAATCTTACAAAATTATTTTGTTCCTGCAGCCTGGGCTCGGCCAAGGAGGGCTGCACATGCCAAGCAGGTAATGACTACGATGGTTTCTGGAAGTTTAATGCATTTGGTAGTACTTAGGCTTTTTGCAGGCTCCTTCCGGAAAAAAACTTTTTCATTGCTAGGATTACTGAAATGAGTCTCGTGGGAGCAAGGCTGTGTCATTAAAGTGAAGGAAAAAACACAGATTTTGGATTTGGCCAAAGCTGTCCAAGGAGAAGAACAGGAGATCAGAAACCCTCATTGTGGCTAGATGCTGAACAGTGTCCAAAATCTTCAACTTAAATTCATATCAGTACTAATTATTTACTGAATGACTTGACTACATATTTTTTCTTAAATGAATATTGAAACTATCATATTACTTATGATCAAACTTTCTGTTGTGTGCATTTTTCCCTCAACAGCTTTTAAAGTCAATGGTAGCTTCTCTTCACCTCACTCTTGATTTCTATGTACATAAGTAAGGTTAATAATTGTACAGTCTTATATTCAACATGAAGAGTACTTGTAAATTTGAGCTAAGATGAAATTAAATTCTACAGAAGACAAGTTACAATTTAAATCTTCCCCTCCTAAAGTTTTTCCATCCCATGCATTAGCTAATATATTTTCCAGTGTTTAAGTGATCTGAAAATATGAATCTCTCATTTCACAATTTAATCTATCATTTTCTACATTTTATTAAATTAGTCTTATTCTCCTGCAATGTAAATATGTTCTTGAATATATGGCCAGGATTATTCAGGCTCTTTCAGAGCCCATGGAATGCTAGGGTTAGAGATAGAGAGAATCCCTGTGCTCTGGGTTCTGTCAGCAGGGCCCTGTGTTTGACAGCTGCATGTGGGAGAAGAGAGAAATGGGAGAAATGTAAAAGATGGGCTACCCCAAACAGGAAAGGGGGCCAGGAGGGGAAGAAGGGAGGAAGAGACAGAGGAGAGGATGAGAAGAGAGAGAAAGTCCCCTGTGAAAAGGGGGAGGTGTGGGGAATATAAGAAAGGTAAAAAATGAAAGGCCTCCTTTTTTGTTGTATTTGAGGAGAAACCAGAGATCACACATTAAAAAGCATCTGATGAGAGTGTATCATTACATTTCTTCAAATGCCTCATCTCCTTCTCTGAAAGTAAAGACCTGAATTTTTAAGATTGTGTTTCTTGAAATAAGAAATGGATAAAAATGTCTATTTAGCAGCTCACTGACTACAGTAGTAAGAAGGATAACTCCTATTTCTTAAGCAACAGACACCTAATCTTTGATCATAAAGAAAATTTCCAACATATATTGTAAAGATAAGTCAGAAGCAATGCTTCAATGGAATTATACACCAGACTTTTTCCCCCCCACTTTCTACTGTGATTATTGGATTAGATCCTTTCCTGAAAGGCAATGGGGGACTACAATGAAGTGCCAGCACTCAGTGAAGTGTGCAGTGGCACAGCAGAGACAGAGGTGCATCTTGCTGGGAGCCAAGCACAGCACTGACACACCAGGCTTTCAGCACAGATACTGCACAAATGCAGGAGAGCTGCTCAGCTCCTGAGGTGTGCTGGAGCAGCCAGCAGCTGGAATTCATCTACAGCACAGGCTGCTGGGCCAATCCTGTTTGTTTGTGCTTGAGCTGCAAACTCCATTCTGTATTGTGTTTCACAAGTGCCTGATAATACACTGCCTGAACAGAGAGACATCAATCACAGTGTCCAACCAGTTTTGTAAACAAGGACCAAAACCTTTACTTAAAGGCAAGGAAAAGAAAAATAACTGGCTGAGGGGTGGGAAAGGAATGATATTTTTTTTTTTGCCTTAGGCTTTTCTTCGTTGCATTTTTAGTTTTTTGTTGGTTTTTTTTCCTTTCTTTAAAAAATTCTTACCTCACTGGATAACCTTGTACTTTTGCAGTATTACAGCTGGACTGTGGCTCTTACTGAGCAGTTCATGCTTGCAGCATTGCTATAACCAAGTACTTGTAAAACTTGTGTTCAGAGTATGCCAAAGATCTGCAAGAAACTGACAAAATGTTTGACTTAGTATTTCATTAAAACTGTAGTTTTAAGGCTCAAAGGGTCAAAATAAACTTCTCTCAAAGGCTCAAGAAGTGCAGGATAGAGCTTGTGAAAATCCAGTCAAAACTTCGGTTTGGGATGCTCACAGCCAATACAAGTAATTTAGCAATTGTGCTTGTCTCACATTTTTCTTTTTTTTTTTTTTATCCCCTCATCTTTGATACAGAAAAATAAAGTTAAATGAAAGAAAGAAATAAAGAAAAATGCCTCAGCCTATTTTTCTGAAACTCAGTACAAAATGATAGAAAGGTTTTCTGAGCAGTTGAATGCTGAGCATGACAGCAACTGAATTGTCTGCTAAGCTGTTACCTGAGAGTTATATAATGAAAAAATTAATTATAGACTATATAGTAATGACTAGTAGTCATCATAGACTGCTTGTTTTAGCCAGAAATGATTATGGTTTTTTTGCTGCATCTAAATTCAATGGAAATGTATTATTGTACAACATCATTGATTAACAGTCTTCATTAACCTTTAACAACAATGTGAAAATTACAGGTGTATACACCTCTTTAATTAAGCATTTTGTTTTCTATTAAGTGCAATTCCTTCACATCTTACCAAACGACAGTATGAGGCTGAACAAACTGTCAGCATGTTTCTTAACACTCTAATTGTAATAAAATGCAGCCATTGTAAATGTCTGTATAATATCTGTGAGTTCAACTGAAATGTTGTCACACAACTCATGTAACTGAGGAAAAAAAAGTTTAATTGCTTTCTTTTCTGTTCATTGTTTCCCAGTTTTTCAGGTGGGGTGAGGGTATAAGCTTTGTGTGCTTTCCCAAAAACTACAGGTAAAAGAGCTAAGCAAATTCTATGCCCCTCTTACTTACACAGTTCCAAGATTATGGGGTTATGTGGAAAAAAATGCATATGAAAAGCAAATGTTAAATGGCAAAGCATGTAAAAGATCAGATGGCAGCACAAGTTTGGGCTGTTCTGTCTCATGAACATATTTTTGTTAATACTAAGGGCAGAAAACTCCATACATCTATGACTTTCTTCTCAAGAACCATTTTGAGGGAGAATCAACTCAGTGCTTTATGTAGACATGCAACAGAATTCTTTACAGACCCTGTCCCACTGAATACTTCCATCCTCTCAGCAAACACTGTCAGTAGTCTGCAAACCCCTCACTAGCTGCCTCCTCAGAGCTGTCTATAATTTGTGCAGTTCCTACAGTTCACAGCTCTTTCTACTGATTAACTATCAATATAGTACTTTATCACAAGCAGTTGCTGCCAGACACAACTGTCTCATTGTTTTGCTTTTGACTATTTCTTTCAGGACCCTTCCAGGACCCTTATGGAATACTGACTTGTAATACTACCAAAATACATATTTTTAAAAGTTCTTAAAAGGCATTTAATTTTCTGGGGTAGATTTGTGAGAACTTTACCTTTTTTTTTTTTTTTTCCCCAACAGAGAACCCAAAGCTGAATACAGTGTCCCAGCAGTGTTAATACTGATGTTATATTTGGAACACTGCCTTTTCCAGTTGAACCTCTTCTGTTTATACATTCTAATTAAGACAGGGCCATTCTCTACAGAAAAACCATAAAATTATATAAAATTCCATATCTATATACCCAGTGGTCTTTGCTAATTGGGCTTGTTTTCACAGACATGTAACAGGTATCTGAACAGCTCTGACAGAAATTTGAGCAGTGACCTCCAGCACTGCTGGATTTGAGGAGAGGATGTGCTCCTATCCATGCTCCTCCTGTTGAACAACTTTGACATGCCTTCCATGACTCATATACTACATTTTTCCTTCTCATGTTCACTGCCCAGCATTTTTCTGTTGTAGGCAAGGATATATCACATCTTGTGGGTTTTTTTTTGCCTGTAGATTCAGTAGAACCTCCCTTCTGACTATGCTCCTTGGTTAATGTTGTTCAAACCTTCAGAACGACTTTATAAGCATGGAAAGGAACTGTCTGAGGCCCATTCCTTGTGACATGGTTGCAGACACTGTTTTTTGGACGACAGCTGTGAACACTCACCTACCCTTCCTTCACTGATGGATGAGGGAAAGAGACATACTGCAGTACGGCAGCACTTCAGTTCGCACTCTATGTGTGGACTATTCTGGAATCACCTTGCGGTATTTCCAGTCTAGCTGAAGTCAGTGTGGAAATGACCCAAAGTGCCCGAGGC